TTCCCTGGTGATACACCAGAGGACTCACACTGGGGAGAAACCATATGCGTGTTCAGATTGTGGGAAAAGTTTCACTAATAAATCCAGCCTTGTGCAACACCACAGGACTCACACGGGTGAGAAACCCTATGAGTGTCCGGATTGTGGGAAAAGTTTCAGTCAGAACTCTAACCTGGTGATACACCAGAGGACTCACACTGGGGAGAAACCGTATGAGTGTTTGGATTGTGGGAAAAGTTTTCGTCAAAATTCCGACCTGGTGATACACCAGAGAACGCACACAGGAGAGAAACCATTTGAATGTTCAGATTGTTGGAAAAGTTTCAGTCGTAATTCTGCCCTAGTGACACACATGAGTTCTCACAGGAGAGAAACCCTATGAGTGCCCAATTGTGGGAAAGCTTTCAGTTGGAATTCTGACCTGGTGAGACATCAGAGGATTCATACAGGATGAGTGCTTGGATTGTGGAAAAAGTTTCAGTTGGAATTCCCACCTGGTGGAACAATAGGGAACTGACACTGAAGAGGAGCCCTTTGAATGTCCCAATTTTCAGAAAGCTTTCACAGGTACTGTAGGTCTTATCTAATAATTTATGTCAGTTTACACACAGATCAGAAGCCATTCAGATGTCCAAACTCTGGTCAGTGTTTCACTCACAACTCTTTACTATTGTTAAAAATGAGGACTCGTACAGGAGAAAAGCCATCAGCTTTCTGATTGGAAGGAAAGCTTGATGGGGTCAAATAAAAAAATTCAATAATTCATAAGAATATACATTGCTTGTTTTCAGCTTGCTGGATTAATTTCAGCCAAAGAGTCAAGTTTATTTAGATACGAGAGACTCAACCAGAAGAAATGCTCAGACGCAAGAGGATTTGCCTTCAAAAACCAATGAATCAGTAAATGAGAATTAGGATTTCAACAAGAGTTTTCTGAAAGTATAGTAAGAAACTAAATGTAACTAGTTTCTATATAAATATTTATACAAAAATGTTATATAAATATAAGGATATTCCTAAGGCATCAAAACCATTCTTATTGTGTCCAATTTGATATATTACAGAAAGATAGGAGTCCAGGGGGCCAGTGGTTAGAATGTAGTATTGCAAAGGCAGTAATCATTCCAATATATTGGTAGTCCTTGACTTACAACCATTCATTTAGAGACCATTCAAAGTTACGTCATTGAAAAAAGTGACGTATGATCCTTTTTCATACTTAGGGCCATGGCAGTATCAACATTCAGATACCAAGAGGATATACAAATGCAACTTTCTGGGACTGTCGGGTGTTGATGGTGACAAAGAGACAGAAGGATTAACAAAAGAAATAATGATAAAAGGAGACTTTTGGCAAGGATTGCAATAAAAGACTTTGAATATTAATAATTTATCATAAAAATGGAAGAAATAAGCTAAGGCTTCATGTTGGAATTACAAATGGTAAAAGGAATGTTGAAAGAAAGAAGGGAATCATTGGAAATACTGGAAAAGATAATAATGGCAATGGTTGAAGGACAAAGAAATTCCAATGAGGCGGAGCTAAAGGAAGAAGAAAGAGGCTCGGACAGACATGGAGAACAAGAGACATTGCCAAAAGACATTAAAGGAATTAAAATTATGATATTGATGACAGACTTAACAAATAAAAGAGAAAACGCTCCCAGGATTGAGCAAAAGAAGAAGAAATCATACAAGAAGAAACTTCAAAAAAAAGAACAGGAAAGGGGAGAGAGAAGATGGGTGAAATATTAGAAGGAAAGGAAGACCAGGGAAATTTAGAAAAGAGAAAGTTGGTTAAAATTAAAATAAATAATAAAGCCAAAAAATCTAGAGATAAGGGTTAGGGATTCTATAAGGAGGATACCACATGGAGTATATATTGGTGTTTAATTTAAAACTTGTAGGGAAATATCTTAGGAATGTGCAAATGTATATATATATATGTTTTCTTAAGTTTTCGCAGGTACTTACATGTATGGTATTCAGCTTTGTTCGGGTATTTTCCCACATCATTATAGTTGTGCTTTTAAAGTTGTAGCAACATTTCCTGAAGGTGTATAGTATACACTATACGGAAGCCTGATGATGGCAGATGAGATTATGCCAAAATGTTGCTACAACTTTAAAAGCACAACTATAATGACGTGGGAAAATACCCGAACAAAGCTGAATACCATATATATATATTCTCAAGTTTTCACGGGTACTTACATGTATGGCATTCAGCTTTGTGCAGGCTTCCAAATGATTGACAGTCTGGTGGAATCATCTCTTCTGTTCATGCTTTCAGGTCTTTTTTCAATCTCTATGGCTTCTCTGATGATTCTGTGGCTGAGGTTTTCTATAGTGGCTAGGGTTTTGGAAGTCTGCATTCACAAACAAAAAAATCCCCACACCACTAGCCAGGCAAACACCTGGACACAAACAGATCCCCCCTGATACCTCCAGCTCAAACACACCCCAACCAGGCACCCAGATGAAACCTAGCTTCCTAACAAATGATAGCCGTCCATTTACCCGGAGCCAAGCTGCACAAAAGGCCTCCAATAAAGGAACACCATGTTGCCAGCCAATCAAGACTCAAAAAGAGCCACAAAACAGACAGAAGATATTAGAAACACCAATCAAGCAGAACACAGCAAACTCCAAGACCAATAAACACAGACCAAGATTCCCAACCAATCAAGATAAAGAAAAAACCATTCTGGCACAGCAATAGGCTGCCCCAAATTTAAAACTGAAACAACTGTGGGGACCTGACTCACAGACTGACACAATACAGAAGCCTGAATGATGGCAGATGAGATTCTGCTGAAACGTTGCTACAACTTTAAAAGCACAACTACAATGACATGGGAAAATACCCGAACAAAGCTGAATGCCATACATATATGTATGTATGTATGTATATATGTATGTATATGTATATATGTATATATATATATATACACTGTATATAAAATGTGCTGTTATGAACCCTTTTATTTTTTGGAGGACCAAAACAAGGGAATGAAAATGAATTAAAAAAAAACATGATTATTAACGATTATAAGTAAAACGGATAAAATGAGAGATATTAAGTTATTTTAGTGATTTATTGGAGGGGATATAGACAGTTGACTATATATACAGTTGATTATTTAATGGATACTAGAATTGTATAATGAAAATATTCTATTATGATTAAAGTAGGGGAATGAAAAATACCATGTGGATCATAAATATATTGGTTTTATCTATATTTTTAATCTTAGATTGTTTATTAAATATCGGCTTAGAGAAAACTAAGGATAATAATGATGTATAATGTAAAATACAATAGGTGTTAAGCTGAAAATGGAAATAATAGGGGATAAAGATTTGAAAACTTATGTATGGGTGAAGTGATATTGAATCAATGAACTGAAATATGAAATGCAAATTTATTTAAAGATGAGTGAAATGGAGAATGATATGAGTTATTATTATGTAAGATTAATGGAAATGAGAGTATGACTATGTACAAGTGTTACAACCTGGAAACATGTTGCTCACATGAAAAGATGCATAAAGGGTAAAAAATATAAAAGTTTTGGACAAAAAAAAAAAGAAATTCCACGAGAAAAAATTTGACGTATGTAGAAGATTTTTGAATTTCATTTCTTGTCTCTGATTGCAAGCTCAGCTGACCAATTAACTTTAATGTCTTGCCTCATTCTTTTTAATCAACCATGTCTTACTTAATATTGAACATGAGGGAGGGAATCTGCGTTGGCAAGTCCAAGCTCTTTCTGAGATTCCTTGCCTCTCGTGCAAGTGGAGATGCATGCATACGTGCATGCTTGCCTGCCACTTGTGGAGCCCGGTGGTCAGGGACCCTTGTCCTAGGATCAAAATTTCAACTCCTATTGTCAAAGATTAACTGTATTACGTACACCAAAGATTCAACTTTAACCACAATAGAGGAATGGTTGGTGATGATGATGGAATTTTCAGAACTATTGATTTCCTCAATTGGAGAGAAGACATTCTCTACATTCATTTCCAGTTGGAAGTTTGTTAGAAATTTGTGTGAAATGGGAAAAAATGAAGTTATAATCTACAGTTGTGATTATTAAAAAAACAAACCAGGTAATAGAAAAGAGAGTTTTTGTAAACATAGTGTACGAAGTAATTTTGTATTTCTAAATGTAATTACTGTAAAGGAAATTGGAAGTAACCTCTCTCTAGTTCTATCCTTTTCTTTTTACACTTTTAATTTCTTTTTTCTTCTATTGGGTGTATTGGTCTGTGTTAGTGTTTAACTCTTCTGTTTAAAATTATTAATATAAATTATATTGAAAATCCAGTGTAAGAGTCAACGTCTCTGGATGAAAACCACAAATTCCAGTCTTAGGTTAAACAGAAAGGTGGCTTGCCAGGTGCTATGAAATCCCAACTTAAGATGCCAATTGAGAGGCCGAAAATATGCCTATGCAGATTAGTTGGCTGGCAGGGCGAGTTTAAAATGAGAAATCAGCATCTTTCTTGGCTCAGGATGCCAACCAGGAACTGCTTTATATGCCAAAAGAAAATCAAATTTATTCATTTTAATTTATTAAATGTATATGCCTCCTATCTGATTATTACAATGTCATAAATAGCAGTATAAAATTATATGGTTAAAAAGATCAAAACACTGGGTGCGTATACTGGGTTTTTATTTTATTCCAGATTCCTCCAACCAGCAGAGCTCGGAGCCAATAGTTAAAATGGACACTATCACCATCCATACGTTATTAGATCTACATTGAAAAAAGCAGTTTAGGGTGTCCCTCTATAAAGGTCAGCCTGGTGATTAGCGGTCCATGTTCTTTGGTGAGATATTCTATTTTTCCCTTTTGATTTCACTTGATGTACATTTCCACTTGATGTTCCTTCCTGGACATACTAAGTTGCCATGCAGAGTCATTCCTCCCTTAGTTCTTTCCCTCAATATTTATCAGTTTCTTATTTCTGGATATTACTTGCTCTCATGTCTCATCCTTTTGGATATGAATGGTGTCATTTCATTAACTTAAACATCAATATTGCAGTCATGAATTTTCTGTTAGGCAATAGAGATACATAAGCCCTACTCGGCACCACGAGTTTCTTTATCTCATCATGTTGTTGAACATCTCCCCATATTTATATGGTTAAAATACATCAGTTCAATTCAGAAGGTGCTTTTTCAGGAGGCAACTAGACTTTCTTGTTTTTTTCTTTTGAAGGCATTTCGCTTCTCATCCAAGAAGCTTCTTCAGCTTTGACAGGATAGTGGGGAATGGAAGGATTTAAATTCCTTGCAGGCAGGTGGTCACTTGCATCCTTTTTTTAATATATAGTATAAATAAAATTCCTTCCATTCCACACTATCCTCTCAGAGCTGAAGAAGTGTCTTGGATGACAAACAAACAAACAAAGATCTGCCAACATCTAGAAGCAAGTAAAGTAATAACTTGCAGTCAGCATGGATTTGTTAAAAACAGATCATGCCAAACCAATCTTATTTCATTCTTCAACATAGTGACT